TTACAGATGACAAAACTTAAATAATTTCGTCAGGGTCACATGGCTAGTAAGTGGTTATAATAAGTCTCTTAATTGTTATATTCTCCCCCAAAAGTGAAAATTGCCACCAAGGCCAATCCCTTGGATGGGAATTCACTGAAGCCTGACAGTCTCCGGTCCCAGTTGGAGCTATCACTGAAACGATTGCAGTGCCCCCGGGTGGACCTCTTCTACCTTCACTTGCCTGACCACGGCACTCCTGTGGAAGAGACGCTGCGCGCCTGCCATCAGCTGTACCAGGAGGTGAGGGCGGCTGCTCTTCTTGGCCCGTCACTTCTCAGGAGAGTGCAGACTCCAGGGCTGTCCCAGAGCAGACAGCTAAGACAGACCCCACTCCCAGGGTCCCCACCCAGCTCTCCTCTTCCTGGTCTCCTGGGGCTGTGTTGGGTTCTGACTGCTGCCTCTTCCCTGCAGGGCAAGTTTGTGGAGTTTGGCCTCTCCAACTATGCGTCCTGGGAGGTGGCCGAGATCTGTACCCTCTGCCAGAACAACGGCTGGATCCTGCCCACAGTCTACCAGGTGCGGGCAGGGCTGCAGAGGCCTCAGTCTCCAGGGTTTTGCTGATTCTGGCTTCTCTTGGCTCCTCTGACGGCCCCCATGCCCCCTCCATAGCAGCCACTCTCCTGCTCACAGCCCTCAGATGGCTCCCAGGTGCCCTCAGGATGACTTGCAGATTCCTCAGGCCAACCAGCAGGCGCCTGCTCACTCTGACCTTGGTTCTCCTTCTGCTTGTGTGTGCACTTTGGTCCCGTCCTTCCCACTTCCTTGCTCTGCGTGTCAGCCTGGAACAGTCCTCCCCCTGTTCTGATGGCTCTTTTTCTGGAAGCCTTTCCTGATGCCCCAGTGGGGCCTCCAGTCTCCAGACCTCATCTTCATGCATTCAGCGAGTATCTGTGAGCTCCTGCTATGATCGTAGAACCCACCTTGACTGTGATTATCTGTCTCCTCTCTGTTTTGACTCAACCCTAACATCTCTTGGAGGCAGAGACCTTGCTGGACTCGCTCGTGTTTGGAAACCCAGTGTCCAGCCCACAGATATTTGCGGCACAATATCACTAGTCTGTTTCCTTTCTTTGGGCCCAGCACTGTCTCCCCATCCCCTGCCACCACTAGTGATTTTGGAAATAACTGCTGAAGTCCTGGGCAGGTTTTGACTGATGATTTTAAAAGAAGGCTAGGGTCCCTTCCCTTGATACATGCACCCCGCTCCAGCCAGCCCTTCTGTCCACAGGGTATGTACAACGCCACCACCAGGCAGGCGGAAACGGAGCTGTTCCCCTGCCTCAGGCACTTTGGACTGAGGTTCTACGCCTACAACCCTTTGGCTGGTACGGGCTGCTGCGGGCCAGGCTACCCCTGGAGGGAGTGGGCCTCCCTGGCCCTGGGAAGCAGGGAGGGGT